AGGACCAAAGCTACTAGCTGCCCTCGGAATGAAGCCAGCACTGGTGACACGATGCAAGGGCCTGCGTGATGTAGCGGATGTGCTGCTGAAGTCACTTGATTCAGCCACATGCCAAATTCAGTATGACGGCCACTCAATGACTCGGGAGGTCTTCTTTGTTAAGACGGACAGCTGTTGCTATATCTCACTAGAGGCGTGCAAACAACTGGGGCTGGTCCACAGTAACTTCCCTCACCAGCCTACCATTACAGCGCCCGTTACCACAGAGAGTGACTTTAGCCAGGTGGAGCATAGAGGCGACATCCCACAGAGACCAAAGGAGGTACCGTTTCCGCCACTAGCACTTCTCAGGATCAACCTTCAACACCAGCTGGCACCCATTGCCTGTAATGACTGGCTGACTTCATCAAATCCACTTGGTGGAAGATGCAAAGCCCTATGCATTTCACACATCAGCCCATACCAAAACCAAGGTGAAGTGGCAACTCGAGGACATGAGGAGAAGATTGATCGAGCCAGTGCCAGTCAGAAAAGCGATGGAGTGGTGCACAAGGATGGTGGTAGTTGCAAAGAAAACATGCCAGCCACGGCGCACCATTGACTATCAAAAGCTCAACAGTGCCTGCCTGAGGGAGACACACCATTCGCTCATGGTATGGATTTGTCAACCAACTAGCACCATTTTTAGCAACAGCAACAACGATTAGAACCCTTCAGGGAGCTGCTGCAGAAACTACAAGGCAAGCAGGTATACTGAGACTCAGCTTCATGAGAAATTCCTATGAGCAAAGGACGTGATATACTAGTTGGCTAAGGACGGCCTGACCTTTTATGACAAGGAGTGACCTACCATCGCTATTACGGACTCGAGTAAAGTGGTCATAGGGTTCATTATCCTGCAGCAGTACTGTGACTGCCCAGCAAGGGATGCCCCATTCTTCTGCAAGAGCAGGTGGTGCCTCGCACTGTGTGGCAGCCGCCATCTGACACCTGTTGAGACAAGTTATGCTCTAGTGGAGGGTGAGGCCCTGGCAGTGGCTTGGTGTCTTCGCAAGGCACGGCTGTTCCTACTTGGCTGCCATAACCTTGCCATTATTACTGACCACCAGCCACTGGTTAAACTTTTGGGCGACAGAGCATTGAAAGACACTGTAAACCCCAGGCTTTTCGCTTTCAAAAAAGAAAAGAAAAAAAAAGTTACAATACAGGTTGCAAGTCAAATATCTACAAGGCAAGCGTAATCATGCATCTGACTTTCTGTCCCGCTACCTAGCGCCCTGTGTGCTGCCTGATGCCGCAGAGAAGGACCAAGTAGATGACCTGGAGGTCTCCGTGGCTGCTGCAACTGCTACCACACATTTTGGGGACAACCGCGTCACGCTTGACTACACTGCAGTGAAGCACGTTGCCTCAAAGGACCCACAGTATCAGCTGCTAATAGCCAAGGTGTCTGCAAGTGATTGGCACCAACATCGTACACAGGAAATGGCCTGTCTATGTCAGTTCTACAACGTGAGGAACAGGCAAGCTATTTGGCAGGGTCTGGTGACATACACGTTAGACCAGGGAGCTGACCGCCTTGTGATACCAGAGGCTCTACATCATCAGGTCGCAGCCAACCTCCATGCAGGTCACCAGGGTCTTGACAGCATGTTTCGGAGGGCATGGCAGGCAATGTATTGGCCTGGAATGGAAGGTGACCTGCAGTTCTACCATGATGCTTGTGACACCAATACACACACTCCATCTCAAGCAGCCGAACCTCTCATCTTGACCCCTTCACCAGATTATCCATTTCAGTTCACAGTGGCTGACCTGTTCCAGCTTAAGGTACAGATGTACATTGTGTATGCTGACAGGTGCACAGGCTGGCTAGAGATCAGTCACCTGCCACATGGTGCTACATCAAGCAGGATAATGGCCTTGTTCTGCCAAAACTTTGCATGATGGGGCGTCCCAGAGGGCATATCAACTGACAGTGGCATTATGTATTTATACATACACATATTCTTATATATAATATTATATATATATATATTATATATATATATATATATATATAATATATATATATAATATAAACATACACACAAACACACACACACACACACACACACACACACACACATACACACACATACACACACATACACATCACAACACACATCCTGCTAGTACCACTACACACACACACACACCAAATCTCCCTAAAGATGGTGCGTCACAATCGGATTATGCACTGTGGGATGCTGGAG